GCTTAGTTTTGATAATAATAATAATACAAAACCTTATTAGGGTAAAGTTAATGGAATAAGGCTGGTTAATTGGTTATTTAATAAAGTTTAAAGCAATTTTTACCACAGTCAAAATATTTTGATTCCTAAAATAGGGATTAAGGTAAACTCTCAGCACATACCTGCCAAGGGAAATACACCTCTCGGTATATATATCATGTGTGTGTGAATGCATTTACTAAGGGGATGAATAAAATTCCCACTAACTCTTAAGTCGTAAATAGGTATCCTGGGGGTTATTAGCCGAATTATATGGGTCGCATCCTGGGGCTGGAAAATTAAAGGACCACAATGGAAATAAGCCAGTCTGGTGACATGGCTTTATTGGGCTATTCTGGGTTACTGAACTCTCCGGGTTAACACTACGAGCAAAATAATCTTGTGTTGAACATAGCTGTCTTCTCAAAAGTTGAACTGAGTTCTATTCAAGACCATTACATGAAAGGTTATACTTTTCAGAGGTTCTGGGTCCCACCATCACTTATTAAGAAAATATGTATCGACATGATACAGTGTTCCGTAATAGGTATGTAAGGACACAGTGTTCACGTAATAGGTATGTAAGGACACAGTATTCCGTAATAGGTATGTAAGGACACAGTGTTCCGTAATAGGTATGTAAGGACACAGTGTTCAGTAATAGGTATGTAAGGACACAGTGTTCAGTAATAGGTATGTAAGGACACAGTGTTCCGTAATAGGTATGTAAGGACACAATGTTCCGTAATAGGTATATAAGGACACAGTGTTCCGTAATAGGTATGTAAGGACACAATGTTCCGTAATAGGTATGTAAGGACGCAATGTTCCGTAATAGGTATGTAAGGACACAGTGTTCCGTAATAGGTATGTAAGGACACAGTGTTCCGTAATAGGTATGTAAGGACACAGTATTCCGTAATAGGTATGTAAGGACACAGTGTTCCGTAATAGGTATGTAAGGACATAGTGTTCCGTAATAGGTATGTAAGGACAGAGTGTTCCGTAATAGGTATGTAAGGACAGAGTGTTCCGTAATAGGTATGTAAGGACACAGTATTCCGTAATAGGTATGTAAGGACACAGTGTTCCGTAATAGGTATGTAAGGACACAGTGTTCCGTAATAGGTATATAAGGACACAGTGTTCCGTAATAGGTATGTAAGGACACAATGTTCCGTAATAGGTATGTAAGGACACAGTGTTCCGTAATAGGTATGTAAGGACACAGTGTTTCGTAATAGGTATGTAAGGGCACAGTGTTCCGTAATAGGTATGTAAGGACACAGTGTTCCGTAATAGGTATGTAAGGACACAGTATTCCGTAATAAGTATGTAAGGACACAGTGTTCCGTAATAGGTATGTAATGACACAGTGTTCCGTAATAGGTATGTAAGGGCCCAAAGTGTTCCGTAATAGGTATGTAAGGACACAGTGTTCCGTAATAGGTATGTAAGGACACAATGTTCCGTAATAGGTATGTAAGGACACAGTGTTCCGTAATAGGTATGTAAGGACACAGTGTTCCGTAATAGGTATGTAAGGACACAGTGTTCCGTAATAGGTATGTAATGACACAGTGTTTCGTAATAGGTATGCAAGGACACAGTGTTCCGTAATAGGTATGTAAGGACACAGTGTTCCGTAATAGGTATGTAATGACACAGTGTTTCGTAATAGGTATGTAATGACACAGTGTTTCGTAATAGGTATGTAAGGACACAGTGTTCCGTAATAGGTATGTAAGGACACAGTGTTCCGTAATAGGTATGTAAGGACACAGTGTTCCGTAATAGGTATGTAAGGACACAGTGTTCCGTAATAGGTATGTAAGGACACAGTGTTCCGTAATAGGTATGTAAGGACACAGTGTTCCGTAATAGGTATGTAATGACACAGTGTTCCGTAATAGGTATGTAAGGACACAATGTTCCGTAATAGGTATGTAAGGACACAGTGTTCCGTAATAGGTATGTAAGGACAGTGTTCCGTAATAGGTATGTAAGGACACAATGTTCCGTAATAGGTATGTAAGGGCACAGTGTTCCGTAATAGGTATGTAAGGACACAGTGTTCCGTAATAGGTATATAATGACACAGTGTTCCGTAATAGGTATGCAAGGACACAGTGTTCCGTAATAGGTATCGACATTGTACAGTGGATCTACATATATTAAATCAACTCCAACCATTTTAAATTGGTCGTATATTATACATTTACGTTACCATATTACGCATTTATATTCATCCTGTTAAAAGTCGCTACGAAATAACTGGAATAAATATATTAATTATTCAGGTTGAATTAATTTTATTTTGTTTTTACATATACAGATTTTTTAAGTTGTTACTGTTAAACACAACGTTTTATTCATGTTAAATTATAATATATACATGGATAGATATATAGATTTATTCTGGTTTAATTACACGGATAGATACATAGTCTTAATAAAGTTAAATTATGCAAAAGATAGCTTTATTCAGGATACGTGATGGATACATGGGCCAGTGAGCCGCCAGCAGCAACAGCCTGATTGATCGGGCAAGCACTAGACAAGTCTGGTCCAAGGTCGGACTCCAGAGGTAGAAAAACTCTAGAAACCGGACAAAAGGTATTGTAATTGTGAAAGCGACAGGTGGTGACGATTAAACTTTGATAACCTACGTATTATTTACTTGTACAAATAGACGTCCATTCCAGATTGATTTTATGTATTTGCTCTAAGTCTCTCTAAGATGCCACTCCACATACCTTCGCAGCAACTAAGGGTGTTCTTTATACAGGAAACATACAGTGGCTGAAACCTTACATTAATTTCCAGTGTAACTGAAAATAATTACGACGAGGATGGGATTCGAACCCACGCAGGGAGACCCTATTGGATTAGCAGTCCAACGCCTTAACCACTCGGCCACCTCGTCATAGTACTCATTGTTACTAACATCTTACTTTGAAACACAATACTTTAAAGCTTTCGGTAATCTAAGAGCATTACCAACCTACAGTTACTTTCAGAAAGGAATTTACAATTTTTACAAGGCGCATACCAACCTAATAAATCATGCATAGATTCAGTAGCTGCAAAATATAATATAAATCTCTAATAACAGTGAATTATTATTGAGAGAGCCAAAGTGCCCTCAGAAGCAATATATGGATATATAAATATGTATATAAATAATACAAGGAGTCTGCATGCATATATAAGTAATGCATATTCTTCGTCAGGAAACACCGGGACGATGCCGTGTCTGTGCTGTAGAAGTGGAGGTAAACTGTTATTGATCCTATGGCCCAGTCCCTGGACCCATTATATACCTCTGTAATCTGTAAATACCTTTGTAACTTGTCATGATTGTGACCATATCTACCTGGAGTTCATTACCTTTGTAACTTGTTCAGCTATCAAAACTCTGGGGCCCAGTCCCTGGACTCATTATGTACCTCTGTAATCTTTTGACTACCGCCCACAGGATGGGTATGGGGTGCTTAATAAACATATTAAACTAACTAACTATGGCTGAGCCCCGGTGGTTCCAGCCCTATGGCAGAGGCCCGGTGGTTCCAGCCCTATGGCTGGGGCCCGGTCTAGAATAAACCAGAAGAGCACCCAAGTCTCTACCTACTGCAAGGTGAACATGGGCAACAGGTGTCACGAAGTATGCCCAACGTTTCCACTTGTGCTGGGATTCAACCAAGTCCACCGCTCGTATTCCTACTGTCTTGACATGCAAAAGGTGGTGTAGCCATTGGCTAGATTCCTTTGATACTCAAATATAGACACCTTGTATTGTGCCAAAACAAAAGCGTTCACATTGCTAAACTCACAAATTATGATGTAGTCACTTAGCCTTAATACTATAATCTGTAAGGATTTAATGTTAAGAATTGATCTAAGTCTGCTCGAAATGCCTAGCCATGCTAGGTGTCCTAGTGGCCCCTCTGTAATTAGTATTTTATAACATGTAAACCACAAAATACCCAAAACTTGTAAACCCCACACTGCAACCATTATAGAGAATAAACTTGAATTGAATTGAATTGAATTGAATTCAGCAATGTGTCAGTGGTGAGTTTTATTTCCGGTATAAAACAACGGTGAAGCTCTTTTCCAAACTGCAGGCTTGAACTGGATCCAGTACTTCAGTCCTGATTCTGGGCTTCGGCACAAAAGACGGAAAGTTATTTATCGGCCGGTCATCGGAGACAACGATCCCAGAAATCGAATACAGGTTGGCTACAGGTGGACTACCTGTTCGACGCCAGTCGAAGGGATTTTTACTGTTGTTAGTTTAATACGTCGGGGGTGGGGAAATTACCTGGCATGAGTGCGGCACTATGGCGAGGGGCGCTTCTAGACTAAAGGTTGGGTAGCCGGTGGCACTATGGAGAGGCATGGCATTAGTGACCGCTGGCTTACACGTGTTGGTCTCGTATCAGTGATGTGAGAGGAAGGGAAGCCAACTGGAGTTTCCTATAGATCTGAGTGAACATCAAATGAATTACGATCACTTAAGCGTTAATTAACAATGACCCGCCTTTCTTGCTATGTGGTGAGACAGTGTTGAATAAATTTATTATGTAAGAGAGGAGGTGGTGGAGGAGAACCTGGAACAAGAAGATCAATGTCAACACAGCAACAATAACAACGATAACAATACAAATAATGATAAACGACAGCAACAAATAACAACGATAACAATATTGACAAACTAAGGCAACAATTTACAACAACAGCAACGAAGAACCCTCCTGCGTGATGGGTGTTGGAGGTAAATCTACCTCCCGTCTCCAACATTATAGAAAGCAACACAGATCAAGGAATCGCCGCAATACAGTGTATAAAATTTTGATAATACAAGAAATGAGAAAGATAAAAAGACCAAGACCGCGGGTATTTAACGCCGCAGCACTGGTTTGTAACTATGTATATTATCTTATCTCAGTAAGTCTTGGCGGTATAACGGATGTGTGACATCCATGTCTCAGTCAGGCAGTGGTGTCGGCCCGAGCAACATAGGGCCTACATTAATAACGGTTTGTGCTTTTATAACTACCAATGTCCACAATTTTATTATTTCTTGATTTTCGCGACTTTTAGGTAATATTTTCGTGTTTATTTTGTTGTTGCCTGGTTTTATGATATTTTTGGAGATAAATCAGCCCTAGTATTCTTTTTTATCAACATATGAATTAAGCACCTTATGATTCCTAGGATATACGACATGTGAAGTTTCTTTCATAGTAAAAAAAAAAAGTTGTCAGAATTAGAATAGTGAGAGATACTTTCCGAATGATTATTTAGAGTGAAATCCATAGTTTGGAAATTATTATGTGACCACGACTGAAGAAACTGAATATGTGTCCGCCCCCGCCCTACGCAGTGTCAACACAGAAACTCAAATTCCAAGAGAGAGAGAAAGAGAGAGTGACCGAGTTGTGGAACATAGTAGTGACGACCTGTCCCTCCGTTGCTGGGAAGCAAAACAACTAAACTTTCCAGAAACTGAAAATTTGCAAGTAACTAATCAGCGAAATTCACTACGACGAACTCCGCGACAGTTTTATTGCATTCGTTTAAGAGCGTCGAATCATATACAACACTGAAATGTTGACGAACGAAGAAATATCTTCGCCATGTGAGCCAAAGTAAACGCTGAAACTCCTCGTTGATACACCTTGTGGGAGACAGTGGTCAGCCAAACACAATTCAGGGAAACCCTCCCCACTTACCCTATGTGTAAAAGTAATCCAGCTCCGGGAAACATAGCTAGCTTTTGTTCCCACAATAACTGTCGTAAAGAATAGGGTAACTGCAGACTGCGGTTGCATTCATGTTTCTTCTAATGGCCCGGTTAACATAGGGAAACTCTAGACCTGCAGACACATTCATCACCTTCAAAACTACCATTAGAAAACATCTTATCTCCCTGATACACCCCGTCAACTAACTACACGAATACCACCTGGTGGTTCACACTTACAATCACTCACTCATTTGACCATAAACAGAAATATTAATCTCAGTCTTAAAATAATGAATCCTGTGATACTCCAATACTGAAACTATGTACTGTGCCAAAACAAAAGCATTCACATTGCTAAACTCACAAACTAGTATTTAGTCACTTAGCCATAATACCAACTTACCTCATAATTTGTAATATTTTACAATTAAGAATAAAACTAAGTATGCCCGAAATGCCTAGCCATGCTAAGCGTTCTAGTGGTACACTCTGTAATCACAATTTACTACATGTAAACCAAACAATAACCAAATTTCTGTAAACTCAGCATTGTAATCCTTATAGAGAATAAACTTTGAATTTGAATTTGAATTTGAAATGAGACGGGCATTTGTTGATATCAAAAGTTAGTGAGGGCTGCAGTGGTAGCGCAGTAACACTGATTGATGATTCGTATGAGATAAATGCAATTGCAAGGCTATATTGGACGTCCCAAGTGTTTGCTCATGTGTCTTTATCCGCTACGCTAAACCATAATATATCCGCAGCTGAAGAGCTTATTGACACCAACAAAAAAGCGAAAAAGAAAGATGTCACAAAATATCAGTGAGATAATTCCTCGCCATCATGTACCTAGACACTTGTGTACATTTTATGATATTAAACAAACTTTATGTCTATCTGCAGTATACATAACGTAGTGTATATGTAATAAAATATTGCCCGGGGAAGAACTACTGGAGTTTACCTACTAGCCAGGGTAAACCAGTAGTGTAACTACTCTTTACTCTTCTCCCGGTAAGTAGTCATTGGGCTTAGGTTCAATCTGACTACTCATGTGTCTATGCCATAACTTATGTGTCTTCTGGTATCCTCTGTTTTTCTCAGCTAGTAGGACTGGAATTGGGTTTCTACAATCTGCGGACCACGAGAGGCTGTCTGCACCATAAGACTCTCTGTGTGCATCTTAACTAGAGTCTCAACCCGATCGTATGTTTGAGTTACTATTAGGATGTTCTGGCCTACTCTACCAGCCTCCACTTCACCTAGTTGGCTCTAGGAAAGTCGTATGAACATCTTCATTGATATCTATGATACAGTCATCCTAGTCAGCTCTACTGTCCTCATCACCTCAGTAGTAGGAAATCTGACCGAAACATTTACGTCTTCGTCTGTATTTTAGATTATCGACGGAGCATTTAAAGACACCAGCAAGTCATCCTTTGTTACCTTCTGGTCATTGTAATTTATTTTTACTTTTCAGTCTTGATTCAGTCACGTTAACTAAATATTTTTCTGTTATAATGAACTTGCATTTTTTCTCTTAGTTTATATCCTCGTCTTTGATTGCCAATTCAATTTATGTTCTTATTTCTATAATTATTTTTCACAAAGGGAGGAACTGAAGATATCCACGGCATTCTTGAGTTCCATTCCTCGCAAAGACAAGTGTCCTTTTCCACAGTATATCGTCATTATTATAAATCTTTGTGTACAAAGTTATATGCAACGAAATGGTAAATTAAATAACATAACTATAACCAACAAGCTTTTAAAGAGGAGCATAGGACACGTGAGAGAAAGATTTGATGAAATAGAATTCATGAGCTGTGCCTCCTTCAGGAACTATAATATTTGAAATAAGGTACAATAAGATATCATCTAAACTCGCCCTACGATGCCTTTTCAAAGCCCCCTTAGGAAATTACCGACCTAAGTACCACACATGGGCTCTGTGGTGCTTAACGTCGAATTGACTGCAGCAAGCACCAGTAACCTGAGTGATTAAATTGTCTGCAAGAAGACTTGGTCTGGGACCGGACGTCGGGGACGCTGGTCCCACGAACCATATTCACACACCATACCACGGGCGGGGATAGAACCCGCGATCAGAGAGTCTCAAAACTCCAAACCGTCGCGTTAGCCACTGGACCAGCTAGCGACGGTCTGGAGTTTTGAGACTCTCTGATCGCGGGTTCTATACCCGCCCGTGGTATGGTTTGTTTGCAATCGTGTCATTGCGATTTCGTGAGTCATATTCACAGGTAATCACGATTGACTCAGCGCTAAAATTATATTTCAAATCTTGCTTTTGGTCAATTTTGAATTACCATAGTACTTTTTTATTTTATATCGAAGTCTAAAATTACAGTTTTAATGACATTTTTAATAAGTGAACTGTAGGTGTACACTGAACTTTGTGATTTATATTGAAGGTGTACAAACCAAGACTGACTTGCTAATTAAATCAAAGACTGTAAAAAAAAAAAAGCACAATTCTGAAGATGAAACGATTCACAAACAATTCACAAACTGGAAATGGAAACTAGACGGCGGTCGCTCCTGCCTGGACCTTCAAATTCAAAGTTTGGAATGACTATATTGGTTTAGGACCGAACCGGATAAGTCTTGTTCCAGTTTCCAGCTCGTAGGATGGTTGCGACAGAAACACTTGTACACCGACAGTTACGACGCTTGAAACAATGACACTTTATTAATTGCTAATTGATCTATGATCCCCAGACGCGCCTGATGTCGGAAGAGATTAAACAGCTGAGGATTGTTGTGGTTGGTGATGGTTCTGTGGGGAAGACTTCTTTCCTCAAAGCTTACACGCAGGTGAGAATGTGATGCAGGGTTAATTTGTCGTATTATGTACCCTTTATCCACCTTGTGACGGGTAGTTACGCCTTACCCTATGGGACGCAATTTTGCTTAACCCACCCTATGAGTATCGTAGAAATGTTTCGCCTGCTTAGCAGGCTTTAGTCTAAAACGGGCATTAACAGTGGAGACAGCAGATGTGGGGAGGCTTGATAGGCGATCAGTCCCTTAGTTAAAATAGAGACAAGCGGACCTACTCATCTTGTCAGTACTGAATAAAATTTGTAATATAAATTCTCGCCTTACCCACAGTGTGGACGATGGTCATATTACTTGGACATAGTATTAATAAACTAGTCCTTTTCTGCTGTGACAGATAACGGAATCATAAGACGAAGCTTTTGTGATGTAACAGTACCCAGTGGTATCTGATAAGTACCTAATGTGGCATGCAATCCTTTATTATTTATGCACTACAGGGTGCGCAAAAAAATAGCCGCTCAGGCGGCGCACCTAACTAAATCCATACAACACAAAACCAACATTCTGGCTTATTACACAGGTGGCTTTTTCAAGGTCTCAAAATACTGCAGCAAGCAACTGTATTAGAAAGTTGAGTTGTAGCTCACGTTAGCGAGGCAAGTTGCACTAACACTGACATATAATGTTTATAAGTTTTCCGATGTGGTTATGGAACTGAAGCTCTGCGGACAAAAAATAAAAAGGCAAAGGAAGAGCAGAATCAGGTGAGGTAGGATATTTTATTGCATTTATGGGGGACGCGCTAAACCCGTAGGGGCACAGCGCCTGGCAGAATGGTCCAGAGTCAAGGAGGTGACGTACAGTTCGATTCCCACTCAGTTTTCCTCAAGGTTACCATGATAATACCTCATGGAATAAGACCGTTGTTGTAAAGACGGGTACTTGAGGGTCTGTTCTATGAACGATTAGTTGAATTAAATGTCGAGGATTAGTTTTTACTGCATACCTTCGCAATCACATCTTGCTTAAAAATTCCTTTCGAAATGTTTAAGTTTGGTTTTGCTTCGGCTGATACCGACTCAATGGATTTTCTCATTTTTAAATTTTCAGTTTTATAGATGCTGCCACCTTTCCGGTTGATTGTATGGTTAGAAGTTTTGATATGTTGGAAGAATGCAGAAGTCACCTGGTCGTACCTAACTGAGCGTTTATATTGTTTCAGTCACAAGATTCCGGCCAGTTTTCCCTATCTACACTATGTCACAGTTATTGCAAGGAACTTTAGTAGTGCATTCCTGGTATTTCATTTTGCATTTACTGCGACTCTTAGAAACACAATGTCTTACTTTATTTCTTTATAGGAAAATGAGATCCTCAGAAATAACTCACTATTTAATTGACTAACATTTTGTTCGTTTATCAGTGAATAAATTATTTATTGCATACAAACTCATTCCCAATTGCTTGTGAATTTACTGATGTTGCTGAATGAGTCTTAATCTGAATAGTAATCCGACTGTATCATGAACTAACTACTTAACCAGGGTACTTTCCCCATGGAGTACATCCCGACGGTCTTCGACAACTACATAGAAAGCTACCAGAGAAACAATGTGAACTACATTATCAACTTCGTGGACACTGCCGGCCAGGAAGACTTTGATCGTTTGCGTCCAATCTCCTACAAGGAAGTAAGTGCTCTCGTTTTGTCTCGCACTTTCCTACAAATAGGTAGGTGCCCCTCGTTATGTCTCCCTCCTGCAAGGAAGTAGGTGCACTCACTATATCTTCATCAACTTATTAGTATTACCATGGGGAGCATTAAACCCGTAGGGATTATATAGCGCCTGTGGGGGAGGGGGGATTGGAAGGCATTTAGGTTCAATTCAGGGAACTGGAGCACAGATCCAATTCTCTAAATCAAGTACCCCTTGTGAACATTAAAATGGTATAAAATACCGACAGGTTGTTAGGTAAGATACATATGCAACAGTTAGTTATCTTTATTTCGAAACGTTTCGCCTATACAGTAGGCTTCTTCAGTCGAGTACAGAAAAGTTGTGCAAGAAAGGTATAAAATACCGACAAATATGAAAGTTAAGACACATGTGCAACATCTGGATATCTTTATTGTAGACGTTTCGCCATCCAGTGGCTTTATCAATACAGATTCTAGGACATAATAGGAAGACAGTAGAACTATATACAAAAGATGAGGTAATCAGTCCCTCGGCCTTGGAGTTAGTGTTCACAGCATCGTGGTGGAGACTATGACCGCGGGTTCAATCCCGGCCGGGGGTATGGTTTGTTTGCAATCGTGTCATTACGATTTCTTGAGTCGTGCACACACGAACTCTATGAAAATCTTAGTTTTCAACATTCGGTGTAATTTTTATTAGTTGTTATTCACATAGCTACGTTAAGAGTGAGAAAAGATTTGTTCAGATTTTAAACCCAGAGGGATAGCCACCCAGAATAACCCAAGTCTACCTGGAGGGTGTGCCGGGGGTCAACGCCCCCGCGGCCCAGTCCTTGACCAGGCCTCCGGTGAATCAGGGCCTGATCAACCAGGTTGTTACTGCTGGCTGCACATAGTTCAATGTATGAACCACAGCCTGGCTGATCAGGTACTGACTTTAGGCATCTGTCCAGCTCAGTCTTGTAGGCAGCGAGAGGTCTATTGGTAATTCCCCTTATGTCTGGCAGGAGGCTGTTGAACAGTGTTGGGCCGCAGACACTTAGTGTTTTCCCTTACTTTTCATTGGTGCGTCTGTCTAATTAGATTCATTTATAATCAATATTATTATTATAATAAAAAAGAAGCGCTAAACCACAAGGGCTATACAGCGCTTTATAATCAATAAAATTTGGGAATAATTTAAGCCATTTGATTATCATAATGGGGGTGGGTGTAGTGTCGTATATGAAGTGATATCTTAGCCTCATAAGTTTTCTGCCGTTCTATTATTTTTTACAGGTCCTTGATAATGTGAGAAATCACGAAAGCACTTGGAATTCTACTAGTATATTTTCAGAGTGATTGTTTAGCATATTGTGATATCACCTGTTTACTGTGATATTACTGTATATATATATATATATATATATATATATATATATATATATATATATATATATATATATATATATATATATATATATATATATATATATATATATATATATCGTGCCGAATATGTAAAACTGGTCAATTAGCAAGAACTCATTTAAAATTAAGTCCTTTCTGAAATTTTCTCTTATACGTTTAAAGATATATTTTTTCATTAATGTTTATGTAAAATTTTTTAATTTTGCTCCAAAAGAATCTTAGAAAACTTACCTAACCTTATTATAACAAGAACAATTTATTTTAGCCTAACCCAACTAAATATATTTTAGATTTGTTTACAATAATTTAATACTAAACAAACACATTGAAATATATTTTTTTCGTTAGGTTCAGAATGATTTTGGCGAAATTATTGCATACACAAATTTTCACTTGTCCTATATGGCAAGATGAGCGTTGCTATTTAAGCCAAGATCGCAAGTTCTGCCTATTTGGCACGACATTATATATATATATATATATATATATATATATATATATATATATATATATATATATATATATATATATAATATATATATATATATATATATATTATATTATATATATAACACATACATACATACATACATGTATGTGTGTGTTGCAGTAGTTTTGAAGACTTGAAGACTATTGTAGAAATGTGTGTATGTAAAGTAACTTAAACTTATGAAATTACTCTGGTTGTCAGGTGTGCGTGTGCTTGATCTGCTTCAACGTTAATAACATCGCATCATATGAAAACGTCAAGCTGAAATGGTTGCCCGAGGTGCGACGATACTGTGGTAGAGATGTGCCCATCCTCCTTGTTGGTACGTTGTATCCCAGTATTATTAGTATTATATGCATGAAGAAGCGCCAAACCCATAGGGATCATTTAGCACGTGGAGCAAGAGGGGTAATTGGGACTGATCCAAAGAACAGGTCACTAAAGAAAAAAATAATTTCTTGGATAATATAATATTTTAGAATTTAAGAATATGCAATAACATGAATTATATACAAGGGGAAGAGCTAAACACAGGGATCATACAGTGAAGGATAGATCCAACTCTTTGGATCAGAAGCCCTTCATTGGTATCAAGGTAGTCCTTCCCCTTGAAGAGTGTGGTCGAAGAAAGATCTCAGAACAGGCAGGCCCTGCTTTACATTATTATTATTATTATAATCAAGGGGGAAGCACTAAACCCGTAGGATTATACAGCGCCTATGGGGGGATGGAAGGCATTCAGGCTTAATTCAGGGAACTGGAGCACAGATCCAATTCCCTAGATCAAGAGCCCCTCACCAGCGTCAAGGAGCCTTCCTTGAGGGGTCCTGCTTTACAGCACTTCGCTTTATGGCGTTTTGCTAATGCAGTGCTTTTCAGTTACACCCATTCTTCAATTATTCAGATCTGCAATAAATATATACATCACTCACTATAAGCTAAAGGCAAAAATACTTTAAGTTAAGTGTGTACTGTATATGCATTTTTTTAGGCCTAGCCATGTTGCTCAGTTAATATATGAGAGTATTAACATGTTATCAGGCTTCTATATGCATTTAAAAGTGAAAAAAGGCTGTTTCGCTTTACAGTGATTTTTGCTTTACAGCTGTATGAGCAGAGCCCGCCTATCTTTCTCTGCCTCTCATACACGGTTTTTCAGGGAGTGGAAAGGGTGAGAAGAAATTTATTATGGATTACTTTTAGAAACCCAGGATAACCCAGTAAAGTCAGGATGTCTTCGATGACATCCTTCAATCTTCTTCGTTAGGATACAGCCCACACTGGTTGGCTAACATCCAGGTTAACAGGGGCAATGTCTGTATGCCTAATGTTTCACCAGGGATCAAGCTCCAGTCCCTCAGTGTGAAAGTTGAGGTGGCTACCAACTGAGTCAAGGGTGGGTCGCTCTTCAGCACATGTGAACCAACTAGCTGGCCTTGCATCACTTTTTGAAGTCAAGTGGCACCGATCTGTTCATGTGTTTGGTGCCCAGACTCACACTTGCAGTCTGTAGGCGTCATTTTGTTTTAGACCTTGTGGATCATGGGCTCCTGTGAATTGCGAGTAGGGCCAGTATCAGATGAGTTTAGTAGTGCTCGATCCGCTAGGGGTTTGTGAGAGTTGTATGTATTTGACTAGTGTCAAGGAAGCATTGGGAATAGGGGATTATGGGGGCTACTTCCTGGTCTCCCAGGTGGTCAGTTGCATATACCTTTGTGATGCCCTGGGGGCCTCCTCCCATGATGATAAATGAGACATTTGTGCAATATTTGGGACTCTTCATTCTGAAATGGGTTTAGCACATGTAAATTGTTCATTACCTTTGTAACTTGTTCAGCTATCAAAACTTTGCAGCCCAGTCTCTGGACCCATTATGTACCTCTGTAATCGTTTGACTACCGCCCACAGTATAGGTATGGGATATATAATAAAAGTATTAAACTTAAACACCATCCATGTGCAGAATGGCAAATAGGCTGAAGTTCTCTTCAGACTCAAGGCTGTGGATGACATACCTGTCACTGCACATCAACATGCCCATCTGAACTCGCACTGTGAAATGGTCATATTTCCTTGGTTGGTCTTCCTGACTGGGTAATTGGAGGAATGTGCTAAGGACATCCTCAGACATTCATCTGGCTCCCTCATGGTCACCATAATACCCAAGAAATGTGGCTAAATTTACATTTGATTTACCATTACTTCCATCAGTGGTCTAGTTAGTAGGTTGACGTTTAGCAGCTCTAGGGTATTGCCAATGCTGATGGTGTTTTGGCTATCTGGCAACTGCTGCTCTGCCCTCTCGTGCCCTATTTGTAAATCTAATGCCCACAATGACCCATCCTATCTTTCCTCTATACCTTGCTCCTCAATTGTTGAGGGTTATCATCCCCTATATTTCAATCACAGTCCTAAGTGCAAGTGCGATCTTCCATGCCTGTCTGACAGGAAGGCTGCTATCCCCCTGTTCCGTATTCTCTTGTATCCTGTCATTCAGATTTTACATGCAGACCTGTTGCTATTGTTCATAATCATTTCCAAGCCCTTTCCTTGGAAATATCTAACGGTTGTCTTTCTGTAAGGATCACAAATGCTTTCTACTTGTTAGAAGACAGAGTTCAGTTCCTGTCCATCTAATGCAGACCTGGGATGCAACCTTTTCCAGATCTTTTCTTCAGTACTTCCAATACATTCCTTTCTTGTTTTCAGCTACTAGTCCTGCCTAGGACCTTTCAGCACCTGCTATAGAGGTGGAGGTCCCTGGACCTCCCCATTTTCCATCAGTGATCAGACAAGAGCATAGCATAACACTAGTTATGTTTCTATACACTGCAGGATGGCTAAAACTTGGCATCCTGCATTGTCTTCTACCCCTGTATTCTTCTTTCTTTCAACACACTGGCCATATCCCACCGAGGTGGGGTGGCCCAAAAGGAAAAACGAAAGTTTTTCCTTTTACATTTAGTAATATATACAGGAGAAGAGGTTACTAGCCCCTTGCTCCTGGCATTTTATAGTCGCCTCTTACAACACGCATGGCTTACGGAGGAAGAATTCTGTTCCACTTCCCCATGGAGATAAGAGGAAATAAACAAGAATAAGAACTAGAAAGAAAATAGAAGAAAACCCAGAGGGGTGTGTATATATATGCTTGTACATGTATGTGTAGTGTGACCTAAGTGTAAGTAGAAGTAGCAAGATGTACCTGAAATCTTGCTGTTCATGAGACAGAAAAAGGGACACCAGCAATCCTACCATCATGTAAAATATTTACAGGCTTTCATTTTACACTCACTTGGCAGGACGGTAGTACCTCCCTGGGCGGTTGCTGTCTACCAACCTACTACCTAGGATTATTATTATTAAATTATTCTTACAATCATGGGTAGAACGCAGTCAGATTCGATCCGAAGAAGGGAAGGCTAGATGCAATTCTTTGGACCAAGAGCTCCTCACCAGTGTTAAGGAACCTCCTTTAGGTTCCTCGACACCAGTGTGGTTAGGTTCAGTTCTTTGAATCAAGAGCCCCTCACTGATGTCAAGGAACTTTCTTGAGGAGTTTACCCCTGTAATGGTCAAAAACTTGTCTATGATGGAGACCCAAGAAAACAAACTTCCTATTTTACAGCTATGACATACATCACTGGCTATATTACAGCTACTGCCCCAACACTCTCCCGCAAAAGTGAGGGCCTTCTAGACCCGTCTCTGCATCCAGCCTATCAGTGAATCACCCTAAAGAACATAGCATCCTCTGCCACAGGGACAAGCGTAGAAAACATTAATCTGAAACAGAAACCACCCAAGTGGACATTGCATCCTTTGCTGCAAGGACCACTCTGGAAGGCACTGCATCGTCTGCCTCGGAAATCATCCTGGAAGGAAGCAGCTACATCTTCTTCTGCATGTGTCAACCTGGAGAGCATTACATCTGCTGTAGGACCCACCCAAGAGGCATTAAATCCTCTGCAGCAGAGACTACCCTAGAGGGTATTGCTTTCTCAGCCACATGAATTTCCTTGCCCCCCCCCCTCCCTTCTCTCCTCCTCATTATTAGTTTTATTATTATTTTTATTACATTCATGAGTGGGATGATAGGCTGCCAGAACTGTAGGACTCATACAGCACCTGAGGGAATGGGAGGTAATCAGGCTTGATCCAAGGAAGGGGAGGTTAGGTCAAATTTATTGGATCAAGTCCCTCACCAGCATCAAGGAATATCTTTTCAGGGCACCTCTCTTATTACCTCTCCTCTTGATTTGTTGCCTTTTACAGTGAATTCTGAAGTTTCATCTACCTCTGTACATGAGTCTCTTTGGAAATCCTGTACTTGAAAAATACCTTCCAGTTTTCCTGGTTTCGATTGATTACCCAGTTTTTTGGTGAACTTACCTTTTTTTATAACCACTCATTTTTTTACATTATGCCTTTCATCCAATGGAATATTAGAGGATACAGGGGTAATTAGGGAAAGCAATGATGATTATACACAACAGATCAAACTACCAAGTCTGAACCATGTCCAGAGAGTTATATTCATTTGTGAAAAAGAGAAATGGCATAAAAAATATTTTCGGCTCAATTTGTTGAGTCAGTCAAGATCTGGGACCAGGAGCAAATGTTCTCTTTGCCCCCACTATAATGTGCCAAAAAAGGTCCTTGCAAGGCATTTCACAAAAATTATAAACAAAACATCAAATATTGACACACATCCCATAGACTCCCATTATCATATCAAATATATATTATTTTGTTTTTCAAAAATATGTTTTCAATTACCAGTAAATACTGTGCTTATAAAAGCACTGCTCACAAATCAATAGAATGTAATGAATGCAAATGATTGCATGAGCAAAGAACTAAACTCACATGGCCCATGGCCTGGTAGCAAAACCTCTCACTTCACATGGTGAGGGTCCGGGTTCAGTTCCCGGCGAGGGCTGAAACATTGGGCATTTCCTTACACCATCTGTCAGTATTTACCTACCAGTATAAAATGGATACCTGGGTGTTAGTCGACTGGAGTGGGTCACATCCTGGGACAAAACTGACCTACTTTGCCCAAAATGCTCTGCATAACAAGCGGCTTTTTATATAGTAGAACGTCATTGATATCAGCTAGGCCTGTATACCTTGTGTATGCACTTGTAGAAATAAGTATATTATTATCATATCAAATGGGTGGCTGACAGAAAAACAGGGAAAAAGTGAGCACACAGCCAAAAGGTGAAAATCTTAGGTGCAGAAAATCAGTTTCAAAGTCAAAGAATGAATCAATTGTAAAGATGGGGCTTCAGAGAAAAGGGCAGGCAGAGTATGTCGGGGCACTGAAGGATAGACATATTCCCAGCTAATAAACAGGACAACCTATTAAGAGATGTTACACTGTCAGCATGACCAGAAAATATTTGCAGACAAGTGGAGAGGAGAAATGCACTGCATGCTAGTGGCTTTCTTCAGTGCCTAACAATACTTTATTGGAGGTGGGCCCCACTTACACAGCAGGTTAGGTTCTGGGCTACTTCTGTAAAGTGAAAATAGCTGTAAAGTGAAACAGCCTTTTTTCATTTTCAAATGCATATAAAAGCCCGATAACATGTTTACGCTAACATATATTAAGTGAGTAATAGAGCTAGGCCTAAAAAATACATATACAGAACACACATTACTTACCCTAAAAACTTTTTTGTCCTTAGCTTATAGCGAGTGAATATATTTATTGTAGAAAGTCTGAATAAATGAAGAATGGGTATCACTGAAAACTGGTGCATTAGCGAAACACCGCAAAGCGGGGCCCACCTATACATGTAAACTACATTATCTGTATACTGCCTAAAAGAAATAAAGTATTTGAATTTTAAATCTGAATTTAAATTTGAGAAGTTAAGAGAGTGAAAGGAAAATACTGCAACAAAGTCTTGGATGACTTTATGACTTGGATGGCTTGAATGACTTTATATAATGTAGTACAGAGTGGGAATATTTTTGCAGGGCCTCTCTTTTGAGCTATTCAGTTTTGGATGTACTTTCAATTGCAAATGCAAAAAATTGCACTATAGAGAGGAGCTTTAAAAAACAGCTGACTGTATAAAGAAACTTGAGAGACGATAAAATACCAAAATATTCCTCAATGAACATCTTCTTGAACAAGTTGTAAAATTCTGCATAGTTATTGCTGCTGCTCTGAGGAATGCACAGCACAATCTATGGCCTACTATCATATTTTCTGATGATCCAATCATTCCTTGATTATAAAAGGTTTCTATGTAAAATTACTATAATCATAACTAGGTGCTAAACTTAGTGTGTAAAAATAGAGAATAATTAAATTATTTCATATAACTAGATATGTCTAGGTAGTAGGTTTTTAGACAGCAACCGCCCAGGGAGGTACTACCGTCCTGCCAAGTGAGTGTAAAATGGAAACCTATAATTGTTTTACATGATGGTAGGATTGCTGGTGTCTCTTTTTTCTGTGTCATACACATGCAAGATTTCAGGTACATCTTGCTACTTCTACTTACACTTAGGTCACACTACACATACATGTACAAGCATGCACCTACCATCCGACTTACGACCGAGTTCGGTTCCTAGAAACCGGTCGTAAGTCGAAATGGTCGTAAGTCGAACTTTACTACTGAATATCAACAAAACATTTTTGTAATGACTTTATTTTATTGTTTTATTTTGGTATTTCATGTTTTACTTTACTTTTTATGTTGTTAGTACTGTATTTTATACTCTAAGGTTTAGGATAAACACTGCACAACACAAATAGTTGTTTATTTCCCAGAAATTTGGCATAAAAAACACGGTCGTAAGTCGAGTGGTCATAAGTCGAACAGGTCATAAGTCGGATTGTAGGTGTATATATACACACTCCTCTGGGTTTTCTTCTATTTTCTTTCTAGTTCTTGTTCTTGTTTATTTCCTCTTATCTCCATGGGGAAGTGGAACAGAATTCTTCCTCCGTAAGCTATGCGTGTTGTAAGAGGCGACTAAAATGCCGGGAGCAAGGGGCTAGTAACCCCTTCTCCTGTATATATTACTAAATTTAAAACGAGAAACTTCTGTTTTTCTTTTTGGGCCACCCCACCTCAGTGGGATACGGATGGTGCGTTGAAAGAAAGAACTAGATATGTCTTCCTCAAAACAATTTAAGGAAATTTTCAATATGTACAATACTTATAGTACAATCCTACACTAGTTTTGCTATATTTCAGAATTACATAAATTATGTTCAATATTAATATACGTAATAATTTTTTAAATACAGAATATGGAAAGCGTATTTCTTTCTTTTAATCAGGAGGAAATGCTACACCCATAAGGGTCTGAGGAATGGGAGGAAATCAAGGTCAATTCAAGGAAGGGGGAAGATAAGTCCAGTTCCTTGAATCAGAAGTTCCCTCACTAATATCACGGCACCTCCTTTGAGGGAAAGAAACATGTACAGCCTCTCCTCACTTAGCGACATACTCATTTACCGATGACTCAGACTTACGATGAGTTCTCTGACCAGTATGCATACCTAAATAATGTATATTAGAGCTGATTTCCTCTATTCTGTTTATTACAATATACAGTACGCTACTGTATAAACATTTTAAAATATACATGAAATGTTATAAATGGTGCAAAGGTGACAATAAAACAATATCAAAGACGGTTGACACAAACCCTCTACCATTAGAGTATGCTCCTCACTTAGCGGTGAATTCGTTTACTGATGTGGTCTTAGGAATGGAACTCCATCATTAAGTGAGGAGAGGCTGTATTACATTACTGTATTTCCAGCTCCATATTGCAATCTTTAATCTGCAAATAAAATAACAAATAAAAGTACATTTAATATACAATTTTGCATATTCTGACAAACTGAGTTATACATCTTTAGACTGTGATTACTTCTGGTTTGAAAACATTTTTAAATTATGATAAAATATTACTGTACTGATCTGGTTCAATTTCTTCGCAGGGCTCCAAACGGACCTGCGTGCAGCAAATACTAAAGAAAATACAGTGACTAAAGAGGCAGGCCAAGAGCTGGCACACTTGCTGGGATTGTTTAATTATGTCGAGTGCTCAGCCAAGACATGTGCAGGATGTGATGAAGTCATAGATATGGCGATTAAAGAAGCTATATCTCCGAAGGCCCAACAGAAGAAATGTTGCACTGTTCTTTGAGAATTATGCAACTCCTCTTGGTGGATCAAAGGACATGTATATTTACAAACTGACAATTCTCAGATTAATGTATTTTCCATGGAAAGCACTAAACCTGTAAGGGTCATCCAGGACAACACAGCAGAGGCAAAAGAGATGGAAGAGGTGTCGATACAGAGAGAAATTATTATATACATGTATATATATAGTATATAGTCGGACTTGAGTCCTGGAAATGGGAAGTACAATGCCTGCACTTTAAAGGAGGGGTTTGGGATATTGGCAGTTTGGAGGGATATGTTGTGTATCTTTATATGTGTATGCTTCTAGACTGTTGTATTCTGAGCACCTCTGCAAAAACAGTGATAATGTGCGAGTGTGGTGAAAGTGTTGAATGATGATGAAAGTATTTTCTTTTTGGGGATTTTCTTTCTTTTTTGGGTCTCCCTGCCTCGGTGGGAGACGGCCGACTTGTTGAAAAAAAAAAAAAAAAAAAAAAAAATATATATATTTTCACAGTGATGTGCTAAACCTGTAGGAGTCATATACTACCTACTGAATGGAAGGTAATCAAGGCTGATGCAAGGGAGTGTACTTCCACTTCACTAGATCAAAGGCTTACTGTGCTGGCCTATGCAAATGCGCAGGCATAAGCACATGAGGTGGCCGAGTGTTTAAGGCGTTGGATTGCTAATCGAATAGGGTCTCCCTGCATGGGTTCGAATCCCATCCTCATTGCATTTCTTTTACCAGTGAAGAGGCAGGGCCAACCACAACAAGGTGAGTACAATTGTGACTCGACCCCTACAGCCACAACTAGGTGAGTACAACTGCAACCTACTTGCAGTAAAAAAACAGGTTTAGTGCCTTACATGAATACATTGTATGGTACCAGAAGATGAAAATAATTCAAAATTCATTAGGTGCCATAAAGAGCAAATGAAAGGGCAGAATCATACAAAAATATTACCAACCAATGGTTTCAAAAGCATTCTGAGGCAAGTGAGCATTGTAACAAGGCTGGAGGCTCTTACTGCAATTCTGAGGCCATCATAACAAAAAATGTCTAATGATAATATAAGGCCATTCTTAATATTACTAAGAAAAACTTGGAACACAGGTTATATTACAATGGTCATTATCCTGTTCATGAAATAATGACTGATCCAAAATTACGGTAACTGATTTTCTCTGAAATAAAAATTGAGAATGTGATGAGGAATTTGTTGGTGTATGTAAAGGTGTAACACTCAAAATTATAGTATATAATTTTGAAGAAATTCTATCCTTTGTGCAGAACAAATCATACATAATTAAGCAGAAAATATTGCTGTCTTTAAGATACAGGATGAGTTTATCCATCAGAGGAATGATTATACATATCAAGCCTCACTGATATTATTTAAGAAAGAAGAATACATATATACTTGCTCTGTGAAGTGATGGTCAGATATAGACATAGAATCAAGTGTTAAGTTTATGACTCTAACCACGAGTTCAAGCCCCTCCCGTGGTATGGTTTGTTTGCAATCATGTCATTACGATTTCATGAGTCAGAGAACAGGTGCCTGTATTCCCTTAAGCAGTGACAACCCCTAGTGGGTCCACATTAAGACTGTATGCAGTGTAGCATACCTGTAATTTAAAAGAAGAAGAATTAGACCCATTTGCAACATCTGGGTATCTTCATATTACAGTATATCCTTGTATTGTACTGATAAAGCCACTGGCTGGCAAAATATCTACATATAAGTACAATTTAAAAGAAAAATACACTAAAGTTTTTGAGAGTATCCATTATTATTATTACTATTATAATAAAAAAGGAGCATTTAAACCTACAAGGGTCACTATCCAATATTAAATTGAAGCATTTTACTGTATTCTATTATTTAAATAATTTGTGGATTTAGAAAGGGCACATAATAGGATGGACAGGGTAGCAATATGGCAGATGTTGCAGATATATGGAATAGGTAGTATGCTACTTAAAGCAACAGAGAGTTTTTATGAAGAGAATGAGGCTCAGGTTAATATATGTAGGAATGAAGGGGATCAATTAATTACTTACAAATGCAGACTGTCTTCTGAAATAGTGGAACTACTTATGGCCAGAGAATTAACACTTCCAGTGAGCAAGACAGCATCAGTATTCAACGTAAATACTGTAGCTCTGTTATACTGCATTCAGCTAATATGTATACACTAATTAAGCAATGTCTGCTACTACAGTACAGTAGAAACCCTGTATCCACTGATTCGGTATCCGTGGTTTCAGTTATCCATGGTTTACTGTGGCCCAAAAATACCTCTTAATTTTGCACCATAATGGCCCCAGAACACAAAAGTAGAAAAGTTGGCAGTTCTTCAAAGCCTAAGAGAAGCCATGAAGTGTTTCCCATAAGTGAAAAAAGTGATAATTCTCCGCTTAATGTGCACAATTTATCAATTAAACTTTATAAACTTTATAGGTATGTATAGGACTTATATATAGGGTTTGCTACTATCCATGGTTTTGGTATCCATGGCAGGTCCTTGGAATGTATCCCTGTAGATACAGGGGGTCCTTTGGTATTTGCAATTGAAAAGGAACAGTATTGAACGTAAAATATGGTGCTGGGCTGTGGTTCGTATGTTGGTTTACGTACGGCCAGCAGTAACAGTCTGGTTGATCAGACCCTGATTCACCACGATGCCTGGTCTCAGACCGGGCCATGGGGGCATTGACCCCCGAAACCCCTCTCCAGGTAAACTCCAGGTTGAAAAATAAATGGAATTAGACAGCAAATTTTATAGTTTTGCAATGCATCCCTGATTATAAAATGGGTATCGATATGAAATATGTTCTGAATTTTGAATACTATTGTTACAAAGCATTTTCAGGAACAAAACATTTTAAGTGAAGGGTGGGAGGACCTACCAGTACTATAGATGAGGTTGTAAATGAATGCTGGAGTATTGGGAGAGGTGTGAGATTAAAAATTAATAAATCTGATACAAAGTGGGAGTTGCACAATGGCTCTTGGCCAAAGACAGATTTTTGGAGATTCTGAAGGAAAGTTGCAAAGATTGGTAGAATAATTTGGGAGAATTGGTAAAAGAAGTAAATTAAAAGTGAATATAGAAAAGAGGAGAGTGATAAGAGTACACTTAACAAAAAAGAACAGGCAATGAAATACTGAATATCATACTGAAGGGAGTATAGAGGATGTAAATGTATTTAAATACTATACTTTAATAGTGAATATATCAACAGATGGGTTTACGAAATCAAGTGAACCATAAAAAAGACATAGGAAAAAGACTGGAAGAGTGTTCAGGCATCTGTGGGAAGAAAGTTTATTGAGGCAAAACTGGGAATTTACTAGGGTATAGTGGAACCAATCCTTTTATATGGGCATGAGGATGGGATTTAAATTTTGTGGAAAGGATTAGGCTAGAGGTAGCCTAACTGTCATGTTTTGAAAGCAATGAGTGGTATGAATATGATGCAAAGAATCTGGAATGTAGAAATTAGAAAATGATGTGGGGGTTAGTTAAGTAAAACTCAGAGAGCAGAGGAGAGTTGGATTTGACATGCTGCTGGTGTGAGCAAGGTAACATGTATGAAAGGATTCTGAGAAACCGGTAAGCCAGACTTGAATCCTGAAGGTGGAAAGTAGAATGTCTGCACTCTGAAGGAGGGCTGGGGATGTTACAGTTCAGAGGTTCATTCGAATTGTGATATCTGTGTACATCTGGCACGACAGCTATTGAATGATTGATGATGAATGTTCCCTTTTGTGGGTCACCCTAGCTTGGTGAGAAACAGCTGGTGTGGTAAAAAAAAAATTAAATATCCCAGATTATTTTTATTTTCTTAATCCAAGAATAAGCTTTAATCAACAGGATCTGATGTTTTCAGATTAGTACTGAGGCACTTGTTTGCGTGTCTTGCAATCTCAGATATACATTATTTCTGTATATCTTAATTCTTATAATACTCCTCAATCTAGTTCCTGTCATTAACTTTGGATATAATACAATGAGGTTAACATCAACACACTTTTTTATATTCATTCTGACATAATATCTGAATCTGATATCATGTGCTAATGCAAATTTCTGTACTTTAAGTTTAGATTTAAACATTTCTAGTGTCTCCAACATGTATTTTGAGTAGAGCATTGTAATTTTACATCATTTCATTTTATAAAAAAATCATAATAATATCTAGAAGATGTTTTCTATATCCTAATCACTATTAAACTGCATTTTTCCTTTCCTTTCCATGTTTAAATAAGCTCCAAAATAATGAACAGCATGGCCACTTGTATTCAGATAGATAATTACTAAGTACAGTGGACCCCCGACATTCGATGGCATCGACATTCGATAAATCCGACATTCGATGCATTTTAACGCAAAAATTTCGCCTCAACATTCGATGGAAAACCCGACATTCGATACGATTCATACGAGACGTGTCCACGTGTGGCCTGAACTGCACCGTGTGTGCCAGTGTTTACAAACCAGCCAGTGTGCGCGCATCTAAGGATACATTCGGTACAATCCATATTATCCATATTATCACTGTTTTTGGTGCTTGTTTCTGCAAAAATTGTAACCATGGGTCCCAAGAAAGCTTCTAGTGCCAACCCTTCGAGAAAAAAGGTGTTAATGACTATTGAAATGAAGAAAGAGATAATTGCAAAGTACGAAAGTGGAGTGCGTGTGTCGGAGTGCATGATGATTTGGTAAAGAAATTGCCTGCAACTAGTGGTGATGTGAGTGAATTTAAGGCCAGCAAAGGTTGGTTTGAAAGATTTAAGAATCGTAGTGGCATACACAGTGTGGTAAGGTATGGTGAGGCTGCCAGTTCAAGTCCTAATGGAAGGGGATTCCCCTTCTAAACACTAACACCATCCACACTCTCCCCTCCTCCCATCCCATCAATCATCACCAGATCTTTATTAAAGGTAAGTGTCAATTATTCTATTGTTATTAATCTATTGTTATTGTTGTTATTATAATTATTCTACTGCATTAAACTTAATATTTCATGTGGTAAATTTTTTTTTCATACTTTTGCGTGTCTTGCACGGATTAATTTAATTTCCATTATTTCTTATGGGGAAAATTAATTCGACTTTCGATATTTTCGATATTCGATAGCTCTAAGGAACGGATTAGTATCGAATGTTGAGGGTCCACTGTACTTTTAAGATAAAGATTTTATGTTAAGTACACAGAAAGCCACTATTATGCCAGGCATTTTCGGCAGACTAATCCTAGTACATAATGGCTACTTAAGTCTAGACAAGATAAGAGTGGTTAATTTTTTAACAAATGTTTATTTTATCTTAATACTAATGCGACAAATGCGAGGTAGTCAAAATTGAATTAGCTTTGATCCAAGGGAGAATAGCTTTAATTCACTGGATCAAGAGCCCTTTACTGGCATTAGGACACCTTTGTAAAGGGGATTTGAATAAAATTAAAGGAGGAATGTAAATTCCTCTTCTTATATAAAGAAAAACTAAAATTTAACACATATGCAACACAGCTTAAAAATGTTTCTTTGTTATTGTCAAAGTTTCATCTCATTTAAGTGGGTGATAGAGCGTGACAAAATGTAATCTTATAATGAAAACATAACAGGTTATGTATATGGTACCGAAAAAAAATTATACAGTGGTACCTCGACTTACGAGTTTAATTTGTTCCGTGACCGAGCTGGTAACTCAATTTGCTCGTATATTGAATCAATTTTCCACTTTGAAATTAAGTGAAATGCCATTAATCCATTCCAGCAGAATTCCTGGCTCTAGGGAGGCAGGAGAAAATACTTTAATAGTATAACGCTAATATCAACTCTATGGCTTATTTATCTAATTTCAACTCTACGGCTTATTTATCTATCACAATTGATCTAATATGACATAATAACCAATGTAAATAACATAGAAACATGATATATACTTTAGAATGATTAAAATATGCCATTATGTGACGAGTGGTGACAGCCACTCCTGAGGTAAAAATAATTATCGCTCTGACCATATCTTCCCATTCTCACCCTTCTAAGGTCTCATTATAAGAGAAAATGGAGTGTTTGTGAGGCTAACTGCACTAGATCACTAGTTTCATAAGGAAAACACTGAAACAAAAGCGATTTTCTTGTGTTTTTCTATGATTTCATGCTTTAATTCAATGAACATTATCCTCTTCTTCTTCTCACCACTGTCCTTAGAACTTACTTTCTTAGGACCCATAGTTAGAAGAAAGAAATTTAGCAAAATAACTGCACAAAAAGCACAAAACGCTGGGATGCTGGGTGGATGTTGTGGTGTTTGTTGCGCCAACTAGTGGTGGCTTATCTGAAGCTCACTCGTAACTCAAATTTTGGTTCGCAACTCAAAGCGATGGCTTGTAACTCAGGAAACTCGTAAGTTGGGGAACTCGTAAGTCAAGGTACCACTGTACATAATTTACTGTATGATCCAGAGGGCTGAGAAGGGGTTGTTGAGGTGGTTTGGGCACTTTATAGAGGTTGAAACAAAATAGGATGACTAGGAAGGTACAGTATATAAATCTAAGGTAGAGGGAAGGGATAGAGGGGTGGTCCTAGGAAGGGTTGGAGGGAAGGGGGTTAAAGGATGCTTTGAATGCTAAGAGCTGGAACATCCAACAGGCTGGTGTGAGTATATTAAACCAAAGTAGGTAGAGGAAAGTAGTTTTTGTGACCTAACATGCTGTTAGTGTGAGCAAGGAAACATTTATGAGGGGATTCAAGGAAACCAGTTTGCCAGATTTGAGTCCTGGTGTGGAAAGTACAGTGCCTACACTCTCGAGGAGGAGGTGAAGATGTTGCAATTATGAGGGTCATCTGAACTGTGATGTTAATATCACAGGGGGGTCACCCTGCCTCGGTGGGAGATAGTCAGTATGTTAAGAAAATACATATACTACTCCACTGTATATACAGGTGCTCCTCGACTTATGATAGTTCGACATATTTTGACTTTACAATGGTGCAAGAGCAATTATTTTGGAGATTAACCATGAGATAATTACACAGTATGAAGGCAGCAAGTCCATAACTTGTAATATTTTCAACTTACAATAGGCTTGTCGGAATGTAATTCAATTTTATGTCAAGGAGCACCTGTAGTATTTAAAATCATTACATACTACCAGATATACAGCTAACCTTTGAACAATCCGGGGGTTATCCGTGCTGAACCCCAACACAGTCGAAAATCTGTATATAATTTTTGACTCCCCAAAAACTTACAGTAATACCTTACGGTTGACTGGGAGCCTTACAGATAACATAAACAGTCGATTAACACACATTTTGTATGTTATATGTATTATATACTGTATTCTTTCAAAAAAGTAAGCTAGAGAAAAAATGTTAAGAAGATCATAAGGAAAATGCATTTACAGTACTGTACTCTATTTATCAATACTGTTAAAGTTTACATAGTCTGTTTACAGGATGAATCATCTGTCTGTTAGTGCCTACATCAAAATTGTCATACTATATGATATAAATTATAATCATGGGAGAGTGCTAAGCCCCTAGGGATTATACTGTGTCTGTGGGGGAGAGAGAAGGTATTCAGGCTCAATTCAGGGACCTGGAGCACAGATCCAATTCCCTAGATCAAGAGTCCCTCACAAGCATCAAGGAACCTCCCTTGAGGGGAGATGATGTGTAAAAAGAAATTCATATTTAGTTAATTTTATGAAATTATGGCACCATGTACAATCTGTATTTGTGTGCATAAGTTTTAATAAGCTTTTATAATAGATTTGTGTAGATTTTATGGTAGTAAATGATAAAATAGATCAGTATCTACATATATTTTATGCATTACATAACTTTTTCTTAATATTTTTTATATTTCTAGGCTATGAGGTTCGTCTGCAACTTCTTTTCAAATTGTCTAAAATCTCAAAAAAAATTCCAATATATTTATTGAAAAAAATTTGCATACATGTATAAGTGGACCCATGCAGTTCAAACCTGTGTTGTTCAAAGGTCAACTGTAATTTTAACTTAATCCATATTACTATAGTGTTAACATTCAAAACCATGTTGATAAGAGTATAAAGCAAACATAAATCACTTTATACAGTAGAACCCCAACTTATGATGTTAAGAGTTATTAGGTTTCACATTTATGACACTGGCATTTTGGAACCAATTAATTTCTTATGAACAAGTGACTCACACTTCTGATGCCGGGGACATTATGGCAGAAGTGCAGTGGAGCTTATGGCTGGTAGGTAGAAGTAAACCTTTTCCCAATGCTTTATATAATCTGTGTTTTTTGAGGTTCAGTTAGGCAAAGTTTGTCAGGAAACAGGACAAGTGTTTCCTGATGTGGGTCTTAGTCATATGATGACCCACAGCTGGAGCTCCTAGTTATCTGAGGCCTTCCACTGACATTCCAGTCCACCCCCTTTAAAAATTATGGTTATGATTTTAACCATTAAGTGTTTTATATGTTTTCTGAAGATTTACCATGCATCATGACTGTAAAGCGCAAGAGTAGTGGTAGTGATACCCAAGTGTCATGGAAAGGGAAATGTATAACCTCTGAAATAAAACTTGACATTATAGTGTGTTCTGAAAAGAATGAGACATCTATTAAAATTGTACCTATGTACAGCCTCTCCTCATTTAGCAATGTACCCATTTACCAACGACTCAGACTTACGACGGGCTCTCTGACTAGTATGTATTCCTAATTAATGTATATTAAAACTGATTTCCTCTATTCTGTTTATTACAATATACGGTAAACTACAGTACATGTATAAACATTTAAAAATATACCAGAAACGTTGAAAATGGTGCAAAGGTGATATTAAAACAATATCAAAGATGGTTAACACAAACCTACTACCATTATAGTATGCTCCTCACTTAGCAATGAATTCGTTTACCGACATGGTCTTAGGAACGGAACTCTGTCGTTAAGTGAGGAGAGGCTGTATAATATGAACAAGTTGACCACTGTAAAAGTACACATCATATAAATATTGTTCTGATGTACATGCAGCTAAAAAAGCATAATGAAGGCAAAAGACTGGGTAAAAATTCTTATGGGAAAAAACTGAATTACTGCAGTGACAGAAACTAGGACTCAGAACCCATTAATCTCTTTTATGGGAAAATGGGTTTTGATTACCAAACAAATGACTACAATGAGTATTCAAGAATGCATTAATGTCCTAAGATGAGGCACTACAAAAATTAAACATGAAAACAGTAAGCCTTATAAAAGTAAAGGAGAACATAAGAAATTTCACATGTCCCTCATGCAGAGCATCAGAAGGGCAATACCTGTAAATAAGTAAGTTTATTTTGGCACAGGTATACATAAGTACAATGATCATACATAAGGTAAATTACCTAAGGTAACCCCCCCCCCCCCAAAAAAAAAAAAGTCAGACAAAGTGACATATTTCCATTGGGGTCCTGTAGCAAATAACATGTGACTACCATGATCTTTAAAGCAGAAATTCTGTATCCTTGTTGCCTACCATGGAACACATCCAGGATATTAGGTGTAAGATGCAGTAATCCTTTCAGACGTGTTGCTGGTGACTGCTGAAGACAGACTGATGCTACTTTTGTATAATCCCACAAGATTAGCCATTCTGTAGAAGCAAAAGGTAACATGAGGACTATTGCTGCCAATGGAAGACACGCTCTCAAAATTTGGACAAAATGACCAAAATATATTCATTATATTCAATACAACGTAAAAATTTTGTTAAAAATCCGAACATGTAAATAAGGTAAAATTAATAATACAATACAATACAGTAGTTTGTAATGGTGCAGTAAATGCATTATGTTTCCCTACCTTTATGTGAATGTTCTTTATTTGATGTTGTGCACATTTATGCCCATAACATCTGCATGTGCTCGAAACTAGGGATGAGACAATATTAAAATTTTGCTGATAACAATACCAATACTACTGAAATTAGCTGACACCCATCAATACTAATAATCAATTTTAGGCTGACACCGATACCATCAAAATTAGCCAATACCACTGATACTTGAACTTTGGCGCATCCCTATTGAAACCACTGCAAAAATTTACACCAATGTTTTTTAAAACCATTTATAGATTGTCCTAATTAAAAAAATACAGTTATGTTTAAAATACCTGCCATCATGGCTCATGAAATCATAACACAAATGCAAATAAATCACAGGACCCACTTGCCTTGGGCCAAAGCCACACCCATTCTGTGATGTTTAAAACAATTTATGGACACACATGTTACTGACAGTACATTATGACTTAATATTTATAAGAGGAGAGTTTAACCCATTGGGGTCAAAATAGCACCTAGGGAATTGGAGACTATGAAATTTGATCCAAGTAAGGATAATTTCAATTCTCGGTATCAAGAGCACTTCAACAGCATCAAGGAACCTCCTTGAGGAAGGAACATTATGTATATTTAACCTAGAATAACCCAATATAATTAATGTGACTAAATTCCACTGCAGTCCTTTTGACAGCTCTAGGGTTGAAAAAACTTATCAGGCATTTTTCTTCTCGGCACTCTCATGTCAGTAAAGAGCTCTTGATCCCAGGAATTGCACCTGTTCTATCTTTCCTTGGATAGAATCTGATTGCTTCTCTTATCCCCGGGCACTCATGACCCCTAGGGGTTTAGCGCTCCTCTCATTGGGGTAATAATAGGGAGATCCAGTGCATATGAACGAGTCCAAGTCAGGGTTCTTTAGGACGAGGCTGGGTTAGTAACATTCATTTCTTTTCCTGGACCTGGGTCCAAGAGAGCATGTAGGCCAGAATGAATTACAGCAGTTGGATATGCTGAATGTTGAAGACAGAGTAAAACAGCTGAAGCTAAATCATGTTTATAAAATTGCTCACGAACAGTGTCCAGAATATCTTGCTGTCAATTTTGTCAAGGTTGGGAACCAAAGCAATCATAGTACTAGGGGGAGAGAGCACAACTTTGTAGTAGCCACAGTCAGTGGCCAGGCGTCAAACACCTTTTATTGTACAGCAATAAAGGAATGGAAGACTTCCTGCACATGTCAAAGCCAGTCATAGCATGAACCAGTTCAAGAAGAGTGCCAAAAGGTGTCTGATGAATGTAGCTACAGAAAGGGAGGGGAATGATTTTCTATTTTTTAGCTAACATTATTATTATAATCAAGGGGGAAGCGCTAAACCCGGAGGATTATACAGCGCCTGGGGGATGATGTGGAAGGCATTCAGGCTTAATTCGGGGAACTGGAGCACAGATCCAATTCCCTAAATCAAGAGCCCCTCACCAACATCAAGGAACCTTCCTTGAGGGGTTTTAGCTAACATACGCGCAAATTTTACCTTATTCCTAGTAATGACCCTCGTATTGTAGTCTTAATGACCCTCGTGTAATAGAGAGTCTTTTTGGTATGATAAGATGTTATCTTCATTATAGAATAATAATAAAATATTATAACCTTTATAAGGTAAAAGGACCCCAATGGAAATAAGTCACTCTGTCTGACTTTTTTGGGTTATCCTAGGTTCTCTACACATATGCTGCTATGTATGATAATTCTATGTAACTGTATTTAAAAAAAAAAACTTATTTCTTTTACAGATCATCGTCTTGTTGGGTTTGTAAGAGCCACTGACTGCTTACACTGTATCGAGTCCTTCTTGTCCGATGTACAGATAAGAGATATTGCCCAAAGCTGGGCCATGAACGAAAAGAAACAGGAGTTCCCTCGTAAATAGAAACAGAAACTAGAAGTTATCAGTTAGACTAGGTAGACACCCCACTTGCCAAGTCTCAGAAAAGCGGGACACCCACACCAGAGTTTAGTAACCGGCTTCTCACCAAAACCGGAAAATTGGAGTTGGCTTTATTTGAGCCGATGACAAGTGCAGCTCTGTAACATGTCCGGTGGGAAATTCAATTCAATTCAATTCAATTCAATTCAAAGTTTATTCTCTATAAGGATTACAATGCTGAGTTTACAGAATTTGGTTATTGTATGGTTTACATGTAGTAAAATAATAATTACAGAGTGTACCACTAGAACACCTAGCATGGCTAGGCATTTCGGGCAGACTTATATTAAATCTTAAGTTTAAAATATTACAAAATTATGAGGTAAGTTGGTATTATGGCTAAGTGACTAAATACTAGTTGTGAGTTTAGCAATGTGAATGCTTTTGTTTTGGCACTATACATAGTTTCAGTATTGGAGTATCACAGGCCAACTTATGACTAGTTAAGATTCATTATTTTGAGATTGAGATTGATATTTCTGTTTATGGTCAAATGGGTGAGTGAGTGTAAGTGTGAACCACTAGGTGGTATTCGTATTATTAGTTGACAGGGTGTATCAGGGAGATAAGATGTTTTCTGATGGTAGTTTTGAAGGTGATGAATGTGTCTGCAGTTTTGGAATTTTCAGGTAGGGTGTTCCAGATTTTAGGGCCTTTGACATACATTGAATTTTTGTAAAGGTTTAGTCGGACACGGGGAATGTCAGAGAGATGTTTGTGTCTGGTGTTGTGCCTGTGGGTTCTGTCACAACTATCAAGAAAGCGTTTTAGGTCAAGGTTAATATTGGAATTTAAGGTCCTGTAGATGTAGATTGCACAGTAGTAAGTGTGGATGTACTGAACAGGGAGTAAGTTTAGATCTATGAAGAGTGGGGGGTGTTTTGCCAGGGATGGGATTTAGTGATTATTCTTACTGCGGCTTTTTGTTGGGTTATTATTGGCTTTAGGTGTGTTGCTGCAGTTGAACCCCAAGCACAGATAGCATAAGTGAGGTATGGATATATAAGTGAATGGTATAGTGTGAGAAGGGCAGTTTGAGGCACGTAGTATCGTATCTTGGAGAGGATCCCAACCGTTTTGGATACTTTTTTGGTTATGTGTTGGATATGGGTGCTGAAGTTCAGGTTGTTGTCGAGGTATAGGCCTAGGAATTTGCCCTCATTATGCCTGGCAATTAGAGTGTTGTCGATCTTAATGTTAATTTGCGCATCTCCTGCTCTGCTACCAAACATAATGTAGTAGGTTTTGTCAACGTTAAGCGTAAGTTTACTGGCTGTCATCCAAGTCGATATTTTGATCAGCTCCTCATTAACAATGGTGTTGAGGGTGGCAAGATTAGGGTGAGAGATGACATAAGTCGTGTCGTCAGCAAAGAGAATGGGGTTCAGGTGTCGAGATACGTTTGGAAGATCATTGATGTATATGAGGAAGAGCAGGGGACCAAGGACACTTCCCTGCAGAACTCCAGTATCAAGTGGCTGTGTTAATGATGTGTTGATGCTGTGTCTTTAATGGTGACATACTGATACCTATTAGTAAGGTAAGATTTGAAATATGCAAACGCATGGCCTCTTATACCATAATGGTCAAGTTTGTGGAGTAGGATGCCGTGGTCTACTGTGTCAAAAGCTTTTCTTAGGTCAATAAAAATTCCTAGTGGATATTCCTTATTTTCCAATGCTGTGTAAAGCAGATCTAGCATTTTTATGATTGCATCGTTAGTGCTTTTATTTTTCCTGAATCCAAATTGGCAGGGGTTGAGTATGTTTTGTGACGTTATAAATGAATACAGTCTCCTGTGCACGAGTTTCTCAAAGATTTTGGATATCAATGGTAAGTTTGATATTGGCCTATAGTTGTTTAAATCTGTAGGGTCACCACCTTTATGAATTGGTGTAACCCTTGCCGTCTTGAGTAATTTCGGGAAGGTGCTAGTTTCTAGTGACTTGTTAAAAAGTAATGAGATAATATGCGAGAGGACATGGGCCACTCTCTTGTACAATAATGGTGGGACATGAGACAGATTCCCTGAGTTATTTTTAAGTGACTTTATAATCTCGGTGACTTCCGTGGGCTCAGTTGGAGCAAGATAGAAGGAATTTGGGAAATTCCCATCTAGGTAGTCCCCGGCATGGGCATTGGTACGTGGGATTTTATTGGCGAGATTAGAACCTATGGTTGAGAAGAAGTCGTTTATCTTGTTAGCTGTGTCAGTGGGTTGCAGTGGTGTTTCATTAGGTTTAGTTAGGACAATAGTCTTGGTTTTTTTCAGTTTGTGGGTCCCTAGAATCTGAGAGAGTGTTTTCCAGGTCTTTTTTATATCTCCTCTTGTGTCTGTGAATCTACTGGAGTAGTATAGTTGTTTGGCTTTCTTTATTACTTTGGTGAGGACTGATGAATAGTGTTTAAGAATATCTTTGTGTATTAAGCCCTGTCTATATTGCATTTCATATTGGTGTTTTTTATCAATGGATTTCAGAATGGTGCTGGTTAGCCATGGGCAACCAAGCCGTTTGTTTGTGATCTGTTTCGTTTTTATAGGACAATGTTTGCTGTATAGTCTAAGTAGTTTGTTAAGAAAAATGTCTGTCCAGTCATCAATACCATTGGCCTTGGAGAATTCTGTAGGCCAGTCAACAGTCTCTAGGTCAGCTGTGAACTTCCTTATTGAGGCCTCATCATGGAGTCTAAATGAGACTTTGTTGTATTCAAGTGGTGGTTTACTAATGTTTGTCAAGAGGAGAGCGAGAGCGAGTCATCATTGAGTGGCACCTAAGCTTAGGTAGCTATAATTGTGCACCTGGGAGGCTACTTTATTGTGCATTTCATGCTTATCCCGTAAGCGGTAGTACAAAAATCGTGTTTGCAATTGGTCTTTGTCAGACGCCACTGGGCATTGTTACATCACTAGAAAGAAATATTAGTCATTTCATATTTGATACTTACTTCATATAGATAATATACACAATGCAGTCCAAATAAAATATCTTATTACCACTAAAAAATACTGGTCATAATTGGGTTACAATCTCCTCTACAAAAACCGTTCATTTATCTAGTCGATGCAAAATGTGGATACAATCTGAAGATTTCAGACATCTTATCACTAACAATGAGGTGTTTTACTATGTCCTATAAGGTTTGCACGGAGGTGTGTCTGAGAGGTTGGATGTTTGGACACTCAAAGATATAATGCTCCAGTGTATGGCCTTGTCTCTGTGTCCGCACACTTTGCATTTTTTCACCGACATCTCCATATAAACCGTATTGCCAGATACTTATAGCAGTAACAACCTCTGGCAATCTACTGACCTTACTTTCTCCATAGATATGTTTAACCTGTTACAATTCATTATGATGTATAATGGATCTGCTAGTTCCTTTCTGTACTGTTTCTACTTTCTTCAGCTAATTGCCAGTTCCTTTCTGATAACGTTTCGCAAATAAATAACAAAAAAGGAACTCTTGTATCCTCTGCCTTCCCTACATTTCCGGTCTTTCTAATCTCAACAATTCTCTCCGTCTCTTAGACATCAAGCTTACCTTCCGCCAGACTTAACACTCTTCGCACTAATCTCGTTCATACCTCTCCTCCCTCTACAGATGTTCCTGGTGTCTACTCTATTTCTTGCTCCTCCTGTCCTCTTCAATACTTCGGAGAAACTGGTCGATCTCTTTCTGGCAGACTTAAGGAGCACAAAAATAGTGTTAGGCTTGCCGACACTAACAATGCTCTTTTCTGTCACGTCAGAGATCATAGCCATCCTATTGACTGGTCTTCTGCTAAAACTGTCTTCCCTACTTCCAACTCGAACAGTCGCCGTCTAGTTGAATCCTCTCTAATACACAACTTTCCTTTCCTGGCTTCGTCTCTGTAGATGCCTTCCTCTCCCACTACACTGTAAAATGCTCCAAACTTCAGAACACCAGTGACTTAACCTAACTCCTTATTTTTTCTTTTTTCTTTTTCTTTTTCTTCTTCTCCCTCTTCCCCTTTCCTCTTTCCTTTTCTCCTCTGGGTTGTCTTTCTCTCTTCTGTCTCGTGTTTCTGTTCCTTCTTCATTTTTTTTCCCACTTCCCCTTTCACGCACCTCTGTGCGCTTGCTCTCCCTCAGTGGGCACCTAGCTCTCTTGCAGTGCTCCCCTTCCTTTGTATTTGACTGGCTCGTCCTCCTTATTTCCCACTTCTACCACTACCACTACTACTACCTCTACTACTACCACTACTACTACTACTACAACTACTGATGAAATTAAGACACATGTGCGGCGTCTGGTTGTCTTTGTTGTGGACGTTTCGCCATCCAGTGGCTGGCTGGATGGCAAAACGTCTACGATAGGGATGCCCGGGTGTTGCGCATGTGTCTTAATTTCATCTTGTCGGTATTATATACAACTCTTGTACTACTACTGCTACTACTACTACTACCATCACCTCTTCCTGCCTATATATAGCCGTCCTACTCCACTTCTGGTTAGTGTGACTTTGTAAATGGTCCAAGTCGGACCGAAACGTCGTCGTAAGCTTCTCTCTTTTATGTGCGGGTTATTTGTGTAACGTTTCGCAAGCTGCTGCTTAGAAAACTAAATTATATTCAACATTCTCTTTATTTAAAGCTTGTCTAGCTGAGGTACACACAAGCACAATTATCATACATAGAGTATATTACCTAGAATAACCCAGAACATAAGACAAAGTGACTTATTTCACTCGTTAATAATCCTGTGTCCCAGTTTGTGGGGAAGGAATAGTAACTAAAACTCGCCGGTAACTGGGAAAGGAATGAGTGTTTTCTTAGGGGGAAGGGGACAAGAAACGAGAACAAAAGATCCCCATTTAGGCTAAATGGATCCCATGCCTAAACAGCACCAGAGCCAAACGTCTGTGGCTCAGTTGATAGCGTCCTCATCTCACACACCAGGGTGTGAGTCACTGTTGAGGATCACATCCTGGGGGAAGATGATTGTAGGATTCCAGTGGAAACTAGACAGACAGTCCCCGATGACGCACTGACCCTGGGTGGCTGATCCTCTGGGTTAAAAAATAATCCGATCAAAATCCTATTTTATCAGTATCTGGATTCATCCTGGCTTTAGAAATCAGCAGAGCCAAGGAGAGGCAGTGAAGAATGTCACCCCAGTCAATTACCCAGTGGGCTGTATATGATGAGGACAAGCGTCCTGCAGGTATAATGAAGAAATTTGTCACCATCAACACCAGCGCCGAAGTCTGTTACCACTGAGAGAGACAACCACATATCTCGCATTTCCCAGGCATCGAATTCAGGACCTTTTGGTTGCGAGTCGTACGCTCCACCAACATCTCGACGTAAGTACGTACTTGACGCGGATAAACCATCATTTTTTTTTTAAATATGTTTTATTGATGTCCCATTTCTCACTCTCTTATTAAGTCTGGATACTAATGAAAGGCCATTGATCCAAGGAAGTGGATAAACTCTTCCTTTCACTGGATCAATCCTGATTACCTCTCATTTCCTAGACCCTATATGACCACTTATGGGTTTAGTGCTTTTCCGTAATAATAAACGCAATGAATTTATATTAGGTATATGTAAAAAGTGTCAGTAAATGCATTCATACTCTTTATTAATATGAATAATTTTAATTTGACGCTGTATTATGCCCTTATACCCATTCCGTGGGCAGCAGTTACGAGATTATTGAGTTACAATTAATGGGTCGAGGAATGGATCTCGAAGATTCATTGGAAGTGGTAATGAGTTATTTACAGGAGATATTAACGGATACATTTATAAAGTATGAAATATTAATCTAAGCTTGTGGGGAAAACTAGAAAGTGATATATATGTATATATGTATATGTATATATAGATAGATAGATAGATAGATAGATAGATAGAGAGAGAGAGAGAGAGAGAGAGAGAGAGAGAGAGAGAGAGAGAGAGAGAGAGAGAGAGAGAGAGAGAGAGAAACATGAGAAATACATTTAGCAGAGGACTCTTATTGTTATTATAATCAAAAAGAAGCGCTAAGCCACAAGGGCTATACAGAGCTGCAGGGTAGGGAAGGAAGCGAGGGTATCGGGCGGCAAAAGGGGGTAGGGATGATTAGTAGGTTACAGAAAACAGCGGGGCAGGGGTAGAGGGTAGCAAGATATTGAGGTAGAAAGGGCTGAAGGTATCATCAGAGTTTGTGGAATAAGTCAGTTGTTGTCAAAAAGTCAATGAAAGAGTCCGGATGAAAGGTGGGTCCATCAGAGAGAAGGGAAGGTAAAGAGAGAGCAGCGGAGCGAAGACAACGTTGGAGGTAAATTCTGCGTGCTCGTTGATAAAGTGGGCAGTCTAACAGAATGTAGCTGACCGATAATGGAACCTGACAATTCTCACAGAGAGGAGCAGGGCGCCTCTTCATGAGATATCCATGAGTAAGACGAATATGGCCAGAGGACTCTTAGAGCCAACACCGAGGCTTTCTGCTGAGGACTATCTACTTTTATCTAGATTAAGGACAATGATGTATTTATTACCTCCATTCCATGCCAGTGCCGCCGGCATGAAACAGTTGTCAGTGTAAGTAAGTTTATTCAGGTATGCACAAATACAGTTACGTAGATTATCATACATATCAGCATATGTGTAGAGAACCTAGGATAACCCAGTATAGTAATAATAACAATATTCTTGGACCAGTAACTGGAATGTGCCTCTTCTTGCATTGGTATTGTGGCTGCCAGCCTACACAGGGTCAAACCTGATTGCCTCTCACCTCCCGCCCAGGGGGGATATAGAAAAGACTCTTCGTGATGCTGTTAGATTTGTCGCTACTGATATCGTCTCCGTGTATCCATTAGACGATGATAATCATAAGTGGTGCTGTCAATGAGCTGCAGATAATTGCTAGGTTATAGTCATTAGACTCCAGCATTACAATCGCTAGGATGTAATCGCCTGGTTACATATAATCGCTAGTGATGTAGTCATCGGAGGAGAACTCGCAGGTGTAGCTTCCGGTAAGGGTCACAGAGCCCAAGTATGCTGCTTCAGGGAGGTAGGTGGTTATGTTAGCCAGGCCGTGACCTATGTAGCGGCAACCACGACCCAGCGACCGTCGCACCCGGCGACCAGCCCCAAACACTCTCTGAAAAATAAACCAATTTTTTTTTCATTACGCTCAAAGGAGGCCTTCACGTAAGGAATAACATGAACTTTGCTGTGCAGGTAAACACTTCAAAACGGAGCCGGCAAGACATGTTAGGTTCCCTAGAAATGGCAAATGAAAGAAGAGAATTTAGTAATTTTGGATTACAAACCTATCCACCCGAATCATTAAGGCCGCAGATCACCTAAAATTAGGATTATTTTATTCTAAAATAGGGATTAAAATCAGCTTTCAGTATAAATATACGGAGATATTCACCTCTCAGTGCATATACTCTATGTATATTCACCTCTTAGTGTACGTACTTGAACATTGGTGAATATATAACAAAATACTGCCAGAGTTAAGCCCCAAAACATCTTTATTCAATGATGCATAGATTTCCAAAGGGGTTCCAACAGCTAGGTCTCTTTCTAGCTTAACGAGATATTGATCTAGTTGTATAGTCTCGCATTAACTGTTATGTTTCTTGCTTTAGCCGGTCCGAGTCTCGTTTTAGCTGTTCATGG